GTTCAATTCCGGATTCCTGGAGACCGTTCACCATTATTTCCATTGCTGAATCCTCTTCATCTAGCACTTTATCGAAACGCTTTCGTCCTATGGCTATCACCTCCTCTGGACGTAAACTTGCAGAGCACGCTATTCTCACCCGCTTGCAATCTGGTACTATTGTTCTCAATGACCCCATGCAGTTTGCGTACAAGCCAAATAGATGCACTTTGGATTTCAATGGTGCAATTTATTTGCAAATTTTGAGAGGATTCTCAAAAGTCCGTTCGTGGTGTTTTTCTTGACTATTCTTCCGCTTTTGATTCCGTTCCACGATCTCTTCTTTGGCCAAGGTAACAGTCATTCGGTTACACAATCAACTTACTTTCATGGTAGAAAGATTATTTCACAGGAGGGATTCAAAGAACGAAAGCAAACGGAACTATTTAAAAACCGTTAGTGAATAATTCTGGAGTCTTTCAGGGTGCTGTGCTCTCTCCCTTCTTATTTTCAACTTTCAACAGTGACTTAACCTCAATCCCATCAGCCAAGACATATAAGTATGCAGATGATGTTGTCTTATGTCAAGCCATCTCAAACCAATCGGACACAGAATCATTTCCCGACAGTTTACTACAAGTACAATCAGTCTCGAATCAATCCGATCTCCGGTTGAATACTTCTAAATCCTTTGAATGCATTTTTAGTCTTTCCCGATCTGATTATCTCTCGGAACCCGTAGTCATCAACTCCGTACCCGTCACCAGAACACATAACACCAAATACCTAGGAGTCATCATAGATAGCAATCTACAGTGGTCCTCTCATGTGCTAGCTTGTGTTCGTAAATTGCGTCGCTTATCTTTTCAAGTACGTAAGCTTCGTCAGTTTTGCGTCAGACATGAAACTGTATGTTCCTTTGTTTATCAATGCATTTTCCGTCTATACTTCATTGTTCGTTCGTTATTTTCCCTGAACTACTTAAAAAGGATTTCATTACTGTACATCGAGGTCGGGTAATTATCCACTGTGTTTCTCTTATTCCTTTAAACACTCCGATCACAAAATTGTGCAATTGGCCTATCATACCATGTAAGAATTTCGCTCATAAGTTATTCAGTGACCCCAATCATCCGCTCAATCCGGATTTATCTGCTTACCGTTCCCACACGCTACAACTCGATCTAATTTTCGCTACTTACCCTTACGCATAAACATTTATCGCGACTCAGCGGTTCCCTGTCTGGCTCGTATTCTCACCGATATAGCGAGGATTCATAACGAACTAATCTTAAATCTACAAAGATGAACACCATTTAGTTTTATCATTGTTGTATACGAATTTTTGAATCCATCATTCTTATCCCATTGTAACAGTGAACACATTTTCGGCCGCAATGTAGGCATAATTGCCTGCACAAGTCATCTATAATACAATAATACAAAAGCAAAGCAGCACTGGAAGCACTGGTTTGGAACCTGGATGGGTCTGATCAGCACAGGACGAGAACGGATCGATCGGATCGCAGATTCACCTGATTTACTCCTGGCCATGTCAGTCAGTTCAGACCCCCAAAGCTGGTTTGATTGATAACACT